TTTGGCACGAGAGACATGGACGATTACAACACATCAGAATATTTAATCTGTGAATCAACATCCTAAATATGTCACAGTGCTGCTTCTGGAGGGTCACAACCACATAAAAAAGGAACCAGCACGTTTTACCAGCACTGCGTCCCTGAGCAATGAATTTACCAGCTTTGTCTCCAATATAACAGGATGGCTAGAGGTTTATTTTACCCTCCCATCCTTAATATCAAACAGCCGCAGGGTAATGAAATGTCATCTACTGAAATATTACTCACATTCTGAGTCCCAGTAAATCAGATAAATGTTTGCTAATGAAATACGTAGCCATGATGTCATTTTGTGACTTCTCAGAACCCAGCTTAGAGAAATGTTTTGATCAAGAAATGTATCGAGGTTATGCAAGAAGGCCCCGAAACCACAAACTGCACCACCGCTCTTCGTCCTCCCCTTGACTTTTCAGATTTCTTGTCAATGACATTTCTGTGAATGTCAAGCCAAACTTGCGTTTGTAAGACCTGCAAATGCAGCGCTACCCCCCCACCTCAATGTACCATCTCTGGTCTTTGTTAGGAAGTGTTGTGTAACCGCACGGAGGGTTTCAGATCAACTCACTTTCTGGTAAAGCAGGAGATGAAGAAAGAGAGTGCCTCAGTCTCTCTCTTGCTTTTTTTCAGCCATTTACAAATCCGGCGCTGCTGCCAGTTGACCAGCGTCAAAGTTTGGCTTGTCTTTAAGTGCGTGTGTGGTCTGTTTACGCTGGTTCACTAGAAATGTGGGACGTCACCCTTCGAAACCTGAATGTTTACACGGTGAATTCTTGGTCAACGAAAAGCAGAAATTAGGATGGACTGAGCAGGTGTGGGGAGGGCTGGTCCTCAACTGACCCCTTTAGTCAGAGTGGGTTTTGTGTCCCAGCGTGTGTCAGTGCTTGCTCACAATTAAGCTAACAGTCTTCCACATAGATGCTGGCTGCTGATAATGCGCTGCAGCTGACATGCCCTGCTGCATCTACCTTTGCATCACGGGCAAACTATCTCTATGCCCATGGGAGGATGACAGATGCAGCTGTCGCTCACACACAGGCACAAACACAAACAGCTTTAATAGCTCCTGTCTGATGTCCTGTGGGCACAATGGTCCTTAAATAACCTCATTTGAGTGTGTGTGTGTGTGTGTGTGTTTGTGAAGAAATCTCCCATAAAATGTGGAGTAAATAAACCAACAAAATGTTATTCTTGTGGAGGAGGTGAGTGAATTTAAATTGATTTTATGGGGAAATCTGAAAAATTATGCTCTGAAATGCTAATAATCAAATAAAAGACAGATCTAAGAATTATAAAACATTTTGGAACCGGCGCTAAAATGCACGTGAAACAGGGAAAGGAAAAACAATCAGTGAATTATGGATTGACACAGTAAGAGGAATGCTGGTAACATTAAAAAACGGCCCATGTGTTCTTTATTTGGATTTTATTTTCTGTTCCTTTTTATTTCTCTTTATTTCATTCACTCTTGCCCTTTTCCTGCATTTTCTCGATTTTAATGTTACCTCGGGCTGCTGATTTTGCTGGATTTAGTGAAAAACAACTAAAAACTTTTCAATATTAAATTGAAACCGAGACAGAGTGTGCTGACCTCAAATCCCCCCCAACCTTTCCTGCCGGCTCCGCTTCTCTCAGCTGGAAAGTACTTGTTTGTATGGCAGTGTGTGCGGTAACAAGACATCTTAGCCATCAAGTGTGCGTGTGTCACTGTGTTTGTGTGGCTGGACTGTACATATGTATTTTCCTGCCTGCCCCTGTGGGACAAACTGTAGGTCTGAGCACTGATCAGAAAGGTCCTTGTGTCGGGTGGAGGCGGTGGAAATCCCCTCTTGTATCGTTGTGTGTGTGTGTGTGTGTGTGTGTGTGTGTGTGTGTGTGTGTGTGTGTGTGTTTGGAGTGCTGTTTCCCTCAGTCCACCCAAGGCCATAACTGGAGTACTTACTAATATATAGTGAGTGCACATGCCTCTACTCTTAATGTGTTTTCATTATCACCAGTTTTTCTCACCAATACTTTTTACCCATTATGACAAATCATATTTTAACCTTATACCAACACGTTTGTGATTTACTGCTTGTGTCTCATCCATCTAATTAGACCTGACTATAGGTGTAGACCTAAGATCCAGGTTCAAACTGACCTTTTTTTTTCTTTCTCATTATATCCTATATACTTATATTTACAGTGTTTAATACGTCTATTAGACCACCAAAATTAAAAGCATTGGTAATTAACCAAATTATATTTAATGTTTGTCTAATGGTTAGTCCACCAATGTGTACAGGCTGTTTAATTGAAATGATATTTGAAATGCAAAAAAAGTTGAAGTTTACAAAAAACAACAAACAAACCCTGAAAAACATAATAAGGCTTATTATTATTTGTATGTTGCACTTAATTACTTCTTGATTAATTTCTGAGTTTTTTTTCCTTCCATATGTTCAGGAGAGAGAAATAAGGAGATGGATGAATGGATGATGGAGCGGTAGATGGATAAATGGATGGGTGGATGGATGGTTGGATGGATGGATGATGATGAATCAGTAGATGATGGATAGATGATGGCTGGGTAGACGGATGTATGTGTGGATGGATGGATAAATGATGGACGGATAGATGATGGATGGATGGGTAGAGGGATGGATGGATGATGGCTGGGTAGAGGGATGGATAAATGGATGGATGGATGGATGATGGCTGGGTAGATGATGGATGGATCGGTAGATGGATGAATGATGGAACTTTTCATATTAATTTAAAATAGGCAAAGCCAAATAGGAAGTGAAGTCATATTGCTGAAGCTGTGAACTTGTCTTGTTTTATGGTCGACTAGTCTTTTTTATTAGCTCGATTTCTATCTGAAGTAAAGTATTCTAAGCATCAGTGCTTATTTTTGATAGCTGTTGGAGCAATTTAAATATTTTTGACATAAAACTTAGAACCTGAGCCAAATATTTTAGTTCTTAGCAAATAAATCTTTAACAGGTGGTTAACTGGGTCCTTTGCTGGAGGAAAGACTGGTGATTTTGGCCTTGTTTTCCAGCAGGCTAGGGATCAAAGTAAAACCGTTATACAAGTGTTACAGTTCTGTGGCTCTGGCACCTGCCTCGAAACTTGGATTTAATACATGGAGACCTGCAGGTATTTGGCCTTGTGGCTGGCTTTAGGGCCTGACTTGCTGAACTAGATCTTGAGACCCAGTTTTGTGTGTTTTGAAATCAAGTCCTGAAAGTGATTTTTAGATCAATCCAGCCATGGCTGTTTCTCTCTGATGCAGCTTCATTTTCACTCATCATTACTGCTACGACTTTGGACAAATGTTGAAATACCAGTCGAAAAACTTCTACTGTGGTTCTTGCTTTCGGAGCAGAGTTTAAAAGGTCAAAAGAAAAGACCGTTCCAGGGAAAGGGACCTTTCTACGCTCTTCAAAAACACAAACCACCTCAAAGATGTTGGAAATACTGGAGAGCAACATCTCAAATAAGTGTAAACCGTTTCAAGATCAGGCAGTTGTGGCATTAAACTAAACACACACACACAAACACACACACTCCCTCTTTTTCTTTCACTGCCCTCATCAGAGTGAGGGAAGGCTGTGGGCAAAGTGCCAGGTGCCTCTCATGTTTGGGAGAGCAAACAGGCTCGTGTCTTTGATGGCGAGGAGATCAGAGCGGGGGACGCATTCTACGTGGCCGCGCTAAGGTCGCCGCAGTGCACACCCTGCTGCCATGTTGTGCTCCGCAGCTAGGCGACCCGGAGTATACACAGTGAGTGGGAGAAGAGTGTGTTTGTGTGTGTGTGTTGGTTCAACTCCACCAACCAACTCATCGCACACTCGCCTTTGCTTTCCAAGACACACTCACTCCAACTCTGACGTACAGTTTGCAGTTGTCTGAAAAATGGTTAAACCACAGGAACAGGGTCGGAGCAGTGACTCCCAGGCCAAGCAGGAATCTCTCAGCAGTGGTGACAGCACAAACCTTGCCTTGACTTTCTCTGTCTGTCATCATAATCCCTCTCTGGACCAACTTCATGTGTGCTTTGTAGATGTTTTTGTTCTTTACTCAAGATTTCTTTTATTATAATATTTAATCCTTCTGCTTTATTTGACCAACATATTTAAAAAGAAAAGAAATAAAAACAACCTAAATGGTAACAGCACAACAGCATTAGAAATGTCACTGCATTTCTGGTAAACGTAACGCCAGTGCCAGTTCCTGTCATTTTATATCTAGGGCGCATTTTCTGACTGCTGTGGTTGGACCTTCAGCCTTCTTCTTACGTCCTAGAAAGCAACAGTGACACATGTTTTGCAGCAGTTGTTATCATTTTTTTTTATGACTAAATGAGTGATTAAAAACATCCTGCGTCAGAAATGATGGGCTCATCACGAAGACGTGTCCGATGCCACCGTCTGTTGTCGATGATCAAAAATAAAATAATTAGTGTGATTAAATATTTCTTAATCGGTGGCAACTTTACCAGTTAAGTCAATGCATGTTTTTAATGTTACAACATGTGCGCTTCTGCATGTGTGTTTAGGTTTCGAGGTGTCTGTTTCCTGTGAGATGGGGTAAAGTTTGTTTGTGAGGTGGGGGTATCTAGTTTCCTGTAATAGGGCGGTTGACTTTATGTAAATAAGCTGAGGGCCTCAGATTGGGAGATGACGTTTGGGGGGTTGGGGACTCACACAGACAAGTCGAGTGTGTGACAGAACGAGGTCAGGTCCTGGCTTTCTCTCGATTCCACTGACAGCTGCGAGTCCCAGCAGCTAAAAAACCTCATGACGAAGGGGCGCTACAAGCGTGTCCCACCTCTAGCAGTCCCCCCTCCTCAGCAGCAGGAACCCTGAGCGAGACCCGTGGGTGGACGGTCCCTGGGAGTGGCTGGGCAGCGTTCGGGCTCCATGTGCTCTGTCTGTTCTGACTGCGTGTCTCTGTGTGCCGGCTGTTTGTTGACAGATGACGCGTACCAGAAACTGGCCATGGAGACAATGGAGGAGTTGGAGTGGTGTTTGGACCAGCTGGAGACCATCCAGACCTACCGCTCTGTCAGCGACATGGCCTCCACCAAGGTATGAGAGGCTGCACCTTTCACTGTTTGCTGTTATTGTGTTTCATCATAATGGGGGCAGTTTTGTGCCATCACACTTGTATTTCGAGCAGATAAATCCAAGTCCATGTGTTGCAAGTGTTTATACAAAAAAAGGGCTCCGCTTTTTAGGGGAGCTCTCAAATCTGACTAGCAAGGGAATCTGCAGGAAGCATTAATCCTTCAGCATAATAAACACATGAAGGACGGTATACAAAATCCAAAGATGCTACTGCTGAACTTAGCATGACCCATCAAAGTAAACAGCGTTAAAAGTTTGAACATAAACAGAACAGTAATGAGGAGGAGATTGGTTTGGCAGAGGGGGCTGAGATGAGTGCTGATTGGATTAAAAGGCCACCAGCTCACTTATATGTCCTATTTATCATCAGATTTGTTTTCCTGAGCAAACATAAAACTCTCCTTGTTGAAAAGATGGTCTAACAAGCAGGTGTGTGTTTTTTCTTGACCGGCTGTGGCTCTCTTTCCATCTTAGCTGACTAACTTTTCCACTGTCCGCTGATTATTCTGTTTCTTCTGTGTCACCGATTGCGTGTCATGTGCAGTGAAGTTCAATGCCTGGTTTTTATGTGAAGAGACAGGAAGTTGAAACAATGGTACTGAACCACATTCAGCTTAATAATCACTTGTTGTATTGCGCTTCCTGTGCTCGTGTCACTGGATTCTCGACATGATATCTAAGAATTATTAGGTGGCATCCATGACTGTGTGAGTCATGGTAAGTTTGCTCACTTACAAAGAAATGGCTGTATCATTTTCATGGAAAGAGACAGACATACAAGCAAAACATGACTTACTATTTGGTGGTGGACGAACCCTTGTTGGGGTAAGACGTTTCTTTTTGTTGGTCACCAAGTTTGCAAAGATTTCTCGAGGGGTTTTGGCCCACTCCTCTTTACAGAAACTCTCTGAATCCTTTAGGTGTTGTGGCTGCCGTTTGGCAACTCGAAGCTTCAGCTTCCTCCACAGATTTTCTAAAAGACTGAGGTCTGAGGCTAGGCCACTCCATGACCTTAATGTGCTTCTTCCTTTCCACTCCTTTGTTACCACACCCCGTGTGGCAAGATACTGAAAGGAGCTCCAGATTGAGCAGTTTGGTCATTTTATACTTCTTCCATTTCTGAATAATGAAAGCTCATCAAACGTTTTGTACTTCAGTTCCAGTCTTGAGCATATCTAAGGCTTTGCCTCTGACCATGTCCTTGGTGGTGGCGAGGTTCGAATGGAAGAAACTGGTTCTGGTTCTATAAACATGCGTTGAGATGAATGATTGATCCTAATCTGTACACATGGTCACGCAGCCAATCTGTGGGAGTCCGAATCCTAGCTGGGTGGTAGGGGATAAAATATTTATTTCACTCACTAACATGCAAATCAATTTAAAACTTTTATGTAATGTATTTTCTCTGGATTTTTGGTTGATATTTTTTGTTTCTCTCCATTAAAACGATACTACCATAAAAATTAGAGACTGTTCGTTTCTTTGGAAACTTACAAATTCAGCAGGGGATCAAAAAATTATTACTCGGTCTATAATTTATTTCTCTGTCATTAGAATCTCTGCTGCTATTACCTTAAGGGCTGTAATACAAAACACATGGTCTCATAATTGCCTCCTTTTGGCCTTTGCATTCAGATGATGTCATGGATATCAAAGCACGGTTTCCCCGTTACGACAAGGTTTTACATATATTCAGTTTTGTACTTTAAGAATTCATCATTCAGAGAAAATGATCAGACCTCGCCTGCGGCTTGAAGTATCCAGTCAGTCCACAGATGTCTGTTTTTAAAATGGTTGTCGATAGAGATAATGTGGTTGGCCGCCGGACACCAAAGTAAATATGTCTGTGGGATTTAAAGGTAGGAAGAGTTCATGAGTCACTGGATATATGGTCATCACTGTTAGAGATCTAAACTGGGCAGTTTTATACCGTAGACTGCCACAGAGATCGGCCACTTGGAGGAAGCTAGATATTTACATTTTTTGGTCTTTTGTTTAAGTCCAAACCACAGAAAGCTGCTGTGTGTGCGATGAGTGTAACTTAGCCTGAAAAACCCTGTCATGTAAACATGTGAATCAAGAGGAAAGCTTATTATGTCTCATGAAAACTGGACAACAGGATGCGAGTGATCCAGCAGTGGGTCAAACACAATGAACTAGAGAGGAAGACAAAGAACATTTGTGTGTGTGTGTGTGTGTGTGTGTGTGTGTGTGTGTGTGTGTGTGTGTGTGTGTGTGTGTGTGTGTGTTTGTGTTTGTGTTTAAGGGATCCTCGCAGACCCCTGGGCAGAGTTACTCTCTCTTCCTGTCTCCTTCCTGATCTCCTGCTGCTCTCTCTATACGACAATAGCCATCCCAACATACCCATTTGGACGGTTAATGGCCGTGTTTATTTAACCTATTGCTGCCGTCACACATCCAGCACTGACAGTAAGCAGGAGCGGTTTCACTTAGGTTGACAGAATCACTGCAGAACTACTGGAACAACTATTCAAACAGTCATTTAGACATGAAAGCAGGGGTGACAGACCAAACACAGAAGACAGGCAGAGTGCAGAGGAAGTCGGAGCATCCATGCTTGTACAAACGTTCTTTAAAGAAGCTGTTGGTTTGCATCACTCCTCAGCTGCGTTTCAGTTTAGCCTGAAATCAAGACTGTAACTGTAGGACTTTTGCAATCGTAGAAAACTTTTTTTGGATCGAGACGAACGTTATCTGTAGGTGATGATTGAATAAGCAGGAACTTCACCAACTTGAAAGATTCCCAAATATCCCAATAAGGGAAAAACGAAGGAACGGTTTTGCACTGCTTTTTCCAGAAAACATTACACCTACCCCTCGGTCTGCCAAGATCATCAGACTGTAACACAATGGAAAGCTGACAGCACTTCCACTTGAGCAGATGGATGTAAACTGACAGGTGTGGCCATTTATCGTTGGTCAAACGAAAGAAAAGTAGCTCTCTAAGTTGTACTTTCTTATTTTTAATCAGTTCATACTGAACTGTATTTCTTCTTTAAATGTGGAGTCTCCGCTGCGGTCCACAGCGCAGCGTATCAAGTGGCACAATGTGCTTATTATGCATTATGACCCTCTCTCACAGATGTGACTTTGGCAAGTGGGTGAATGTGCCCCGACACGTAACCGTATGTGCACAAGATGCTGATAAGGAGTCGCCCATCGAACATGTGCCGCATGTATACATGCCTGTGTCTACGTGAGTGTGCGTGCAGCTGGGTGTCCGTACCCACAGTAGGCTAATCCCCTCATATCTCGGCAGTCTTGTTTTTACAGTAAACTAAAACATTGCACAACTGCAGACCCTTTGTCAACTTGGCCGTTACACCCAACGCGGCTTTGTTAGCAAGAACATACCGATCGGCTCATATGACCCCCGCAACTTCCTATTGTATTTAGGATGGTGGAAAAACTGTTATCCAAGCTGTGGCAGAGTATGAAACATGAGCACAGGGGAGGTGAAACGCAAGAAGATGCGATCGTACCTCCAAGGTGAAGTGCAGGCAGGGGCTGATGCTGAGCACTTACAGTACGTGACTGTCCCCTCTGTTATGTATGGTTGACATAGACGGGTCAAAGTCTGTTGTGAGTTGGAATATGCTCCTTCCAGCACTGCAGACTCTCTGTTGTGTGAAAATACAGCTTAAGCATCTAATGTCTGCTTGATTATAATCAGTTCTTTTTGTCAATATGGGGCTCAAGATCATTTAACAGAGTTACTCACAGATTTAAAAGAAAACTTAAAAAGAAAATCAGATTTAGTAAACTTGAAAAAAGATGAAACAACTGTTTTTTTTAATCATGCGGATTTCACTGAAATTTGGGAAGTAAAGAGAAGATAAAGATTTTATCCCAATTCTGCATGAGCCAAAATTATAATTGAAATGGAAGTTTATAATTGACTGCACTCATTTGCGAAACGTGATGAATTTGCTACCAAAAAAGAAACAACTGGTTCCTGCTTTGAAAAGGTGAAAAGCTGCTGCTTTTGTCCAGTTCATATACTGTATTTTCCGCACTATAAGGCGCACTTACAATCCTTTAATTTTCACAAAAATCAACAGTGCGCCTTATGTATGAATTCTGGTTGTGCTTACTGACCTCGAACTGATTTTATGTGCTACACGGTGCACAGAAATCTGTCAAAACATGTTTTACTACGACTTTGGTAGCTACGAAGCTGCACCAGATTGTCGGTGCATTACGGCTACCATAGCCAGGAGCCTCGCGGAGGAATCTGGGTCCTAAACTCCATCTGTTCAGGTCCCAAAGTCAAACGAACACTGCAGCATCACTGAGAGTTAAAAACTGTCTAAATTCTTTCATCTTTAATAAAATGATCAGCGTGGCTGCTTTACCAGGTGTAACAATTAAGTTTAACATCCAGGCATCCATGAAAACAGAATTTATTACATTCAACGGAGTTAGAAGTTAACAGGAAGTTAGCTCACTAGCTTCCACCTAAACATGATATAGCATGTTCTGACTGAGAGATTTCTGAAAAAATCAAACGTGCAGCTCTGTTATCACTTCCAACATAAATGAAGACAGAAAACTAAACAGCAGTGACGTTTGTAGGGTTACTGAAGTTGGGCTAGCTGGTATATAACGATGTGCTACGTGATTGCTAGCTACACAGCTATGTTAGCATAGCATAAACACAGTGAAGCTGGAGGATGAACGCTAACTTTTTTCCACTTGATAAAAGTTAACATGAGGGTTCCCGATGGTTAGGGACAAATGCAATCGCATGGCAGGATGCTGTAAACGGACCAAACATCAGTCAGGAGAACAACTGAGATCATCCATCCACAATATGAGGTTAGTCATTAATATACTGCAACAACATGGGAATAGAGCAGCTGCAGAGGATTCAGCATCAATGAATCAATGTTACGGAAGAGGAGGAAGCAAGAAGAATGAGCTGAGTAAAGTTTGACTTA